TAGGAAAACTTAAGTTGTAAAAAAATAACCTACTTATGTTAAATGCCGAACCGTCCAAGATGTGACTTCAGGTACTGATTACTACTTAGTTAATACTTATTCCTTTGGTATTTTAAAAATTTTTAATTTTTGATATGGTAACTCATACTTGCTATTTGTTGGCATGTTGTTGTATTTGATGTTGGTGATGTTTTCTGTTAGCCTATTATGTTTTAATTGTTTGTTATAGAATTTTTCTGCTATTTCCATTATATAAACTATAATGAAAGGCATACGAGTGTCACGGTGTGACGGTGTCGAAATGGGAGGAAAGAAAAAACAGCGATAAAATGATTCCCGTCCGTGGAGCAGGAACCGCACTGAAGAGAACACCTTTTAAACTTGCACTAAATTTCCAAAAACAAAGAAAAAGACACCTCGAATTATTTTATTCGGATGTCACTTCAACCCTTATTCGTTGAAAAGGAACGAGTGCAAGACGTAAATAAAAAGATGTGAACCAAATGAAGGAACTAAACTGAAAATTTTATTACGTTTTGCATACAGTTTTTCGGTAAAGTGTGGTAAAAGGGGATTTCCCAAAACGATGTGTCGGGTGACACTTCGTGAGCCCCATACCTCCAGGTGCCAGCCGGACTCAAATGGTCTGCATTACACGAGCTTGTTCGTGCAGTTCAGAAATTCTGACATACCTTCTTTTGTTCAGAGCTAATCTCAAACATTTGTTTTGATAGGTTAGGGGTTTTAAATTTGTGATTGCTGCACCACACCACACCACGCCGCTGCACATATGTTATAATCGGACGTAGTATCATTTTATATATGAGGAGTTTATTATGACTACTAACTGCAGAACCTTTTATCATTAATGGATATATCTGTTTCATGACGCTATAGTTTTTTCTCAGGACTGTTTTGATATGTATTTTATAGGCGAGCTTATAGTCGAGATTGACTCCCACGTATTTAACTATTTTTTTGACCTGGCTTATATTATATTATTATGCACCATTATTGGCTGGATGATACAAATACCTTTTTAGCGGAAACAATTGTTTCTGTTTTCTCGGTATTAATCGCAATTTTCCACTTTTCGTAGTAACGCTATAGTAAGTCTACATGTATTTGCACTTGTTTCGCAGCGACTAATTGCACTAAAGGAATGAGCATATATTGCCGTGTCGTCTGCGAAAAGCGCAAGATTCGTCCTTGAAAATTTTATTATATATATTATATAAATATTAAATATTAAATAATTGTGGTCCAAGAACGGTAAATAGTTGTGAACTTTAATACTTGTGGGCAATGATTTGGTATTATTTACAGTTACTCTAAGAATTCTATTACTAAGATATGAATATACCAGTCTTACAATTATGCTAGGATAGGCACTTGAGATCATTTTATAGATTAGTCCATCAATCCATATCCTGTTAAACGCTTTCTATATCTAAAAGTACCATCACAGTGACTTTGTTTTTGTTATAATTTCTTTTAATATCGTTGATAATTCTAACTACTTGCTGTACAGTGTTGTGTTGTTCCCTGAATCCAAAATGTTCATCAATTATCTGCTTCTGTTGTTTTTTGTGTTTCTTGATTCTGTTTAGTATTATTCTTTCTGTGATTTTGCTGAGGTTGAATAGCAGACTGATTGGCCTATAGCTGGCAGGTTTTTCAGGATTCTTTCCAGGTTTTAATATTGATAAAACTATGGAAGTTTTCCAGCACTGTGGGAAGTAGCCAATTTTGATGATTGCATTAATTGTGTATGCTATTTGCACTAGCACTTTTCGGCTGATATTTTTCAGAGCAATATTTTGTATACTATCATCCCTGGGCGCTTTTAGAGAGGACATTTTCATCATTATCCTCCTAATTTCGGCTGGTGAGGTAACGGCTTTATTCTTTATTAAGTCGCTTGGAATCTTTAAGGCACATGTAGTTTTTTACTGTTTTTTATTATATCTTGTTGCTCAGGCGTGTTATTGTCTAGTTCAATATTGTGTACTTTTTTATATTGCCGTGCTAACATTTCTGCTTTATCTGCATCTGTTACTGCTTCCTGTGTGGTTTTCTCTAGCGTTGGGATGTTTTTGTATTTTCTTTTGAACATTTTTGAACACTCTCCATTGAGATTTATCGTAGATGTTTAATTTTATGAATTTCTTTGTCCAAACAAAATTTCTGTGTTCTCTTATTGTTTTCGAATCTGGTGGGTTTGCTGGTTGCAGATGTTTTTATATAATAAATTCCTAGTCTTTTGCCAGAGTCTTTTGATGCGGTTGCGTTTCTTAATGGCTAAGATGACTATCTCGGATAGGCGTTCTTCTTCTCTCTTTATCTCTACTTTTGGTATCGTTTCTTCCAAAGAAGTTTGTATATTATTGGTGATTTTTTTCTGTTTCTTGTTCAGTGTCATCTATTGTGTATATTTTGTTATTTATATGTATTTTCTGTTCCAATTTTTGTCTATATTTTACCCAATCGGCTTTTATGTAGTCATAGCATTCTTTTTCGGATAAAAAAGTGTTTGTAGCAGTTGCCAATTTTGAACAGTATGAGTTTGTGATTTGAAATTAGTTCGTTTAGTACTTCGGGTCCAATAACGTTACATGCATTTTTGTTTACTGTCAAGTCTATAGTAGTTGTTGCCATTCGCTGGGTAATGGGTAGGTTCATTTGGGTACATGATGCTGCAGCAGTTTGTTAGACTATAGTTCTATAGCGTTAGTCCGTTGTGATTATTAATATGGCAGTCTCAAGCTTTATGTCTGCAGTTTAGGTCACCGAACTATGACTTTGAAGGCCATAGCGCATCTAGATCTTTCGTTTCGATGTCGTTCGTAGGTCTATTATAGGCTGCTATTATAATGCACATTATTGGCTAATTTAATACTGACGTTTTTTTATGACTGTATTTCCCTTGATTTTTACTACTTTGTAGAGTATATTATGCTTAATCAATATCAGAACTCCTCCCGCTGCATTTTATCTGCTGTATCTTTCACAGTTATAATTTCTTATTGTGAATTTGTCTTTAAGGCTAACTTTTATTTCGCTTATTAACATTAGATTTACTTCAGTCCTATTCAAGAATTCGATAAAAACGTTTGTTCCTGACACTCTTTGCAGCTACATATTACTAGATTAAATATCGCCATTATTGAGTTGAGTAAAATTACAAAATGTTTGAAATTTGTCTGTTAACTGGTGGTTTAGTTCCCTGACTAGTTCTAGCATTTTCCGTACATCTATTAGGCTCTTTAAAGCTGCCATTTCATATGATAATGCAGGTCGCTTGCTTGGTTATTTTGACTACTGTGCTGCCTGTTATAGTTATTACTGTTTACTAGTACTTCCTATGTGAGATTATGTTGGGCTCTGGCATCTTTGTTCAATTCTTGACTTCTTCCTCTCATGCGGGATTTGTTTTCGTTTAGTAACGGAAAATTCATTTTGTTGTTATCTATTTGCCGGGTTGGCTGTTATCGCTGGAACTGTAATCGGTGTTGGGACGCTCCTGTCGTGGCTATCGTCTTCTTATTTTTGTTTATCCATTCCAGTCGTTGTATGTACGCTGGACATTTAATGGAATTCGCTGAGTGATTGTTCCCACAATTAGCACATATAAGTGATTCATTGATATCTTTTGTGCACTCGTTGCTTAAATGATTACCTGCATACTTGAGGCATTTGGGTTTGACGTGGCAATTCGAGTGTGTCCCCACTTCTGGCATCGATGGCACTTCATTATTGCTTTCTTATTAATGTATCTTTCCCATATTATTCGCATAAATGATAGAAATTTTACTTTTTGATTTAATGTTTTGATGCTGACGTTGTCTTTCGTTCTAATATATAAAGCGGTTTGGCGGTGTCCTTCATAGGATTACATTTGAGTGCTTTGATGCCAAGCTGCTGGAGTTCCTGGGTGATGTCTTTTGTTGCTAATTCAGACGGCAATCCATGGATTACGAAGACCCCTGTTTTATCTATTTTGTTGGTGTAGGTGTGATAGTGTGTGTTTTCATCTAGATTCCTAATTAGTTCACTGCAGTCGCTAATTATAGATGTATATATGCTAAATCTGTTGGTTGCGTATCTCATGAAAAATTTTTCTTTTACGTACATTTTGATTTTTGCTATTAATTCGGTATGTGAGTTATTATTGCCATGGTTTACTACTGGGGGTGGTTTTTCTTTCTTTCATGTTGATTCCTCTTGTTTGGATTTGTCATTTTCCAAATCCATTTCCTGTTCGGGTTCGTCTTCATTAAGAACTGCGAATCTGTTTTTCAGAGTTATGCGTGATATTTGGATTTTGTTCATTTTTTCGTTATCTCTTTCGATCAGCATTCCTTTGCTTTTATTATTGGTAGCTAGGATTAGTGTACTAAATGAGCTACCATGTCCATCTGTTTTATCCTGTCCACGTGGTGGACACTCTTTGTTGAGGTTATCCTTCTCTGCCAGTTGACTATCTGGGTCCGTAGTTATTTTTATTGTCACTTAGTCCAATGATTTAAATTAATTATTAAATTAGTTATTATATGCAATCATTTAGAATTCACTTTTTTAACTATAATGACACTAAGTTATGTTACCGATGCTCAAATAGACGTTTATTTTGTGCCAGTATATACAATATTTACATATGTATAGAAAGCATGACGAGTAAAAGCTTAGCGGTTTGTAGTATTTTTAGATTAAAGGCTTCAGCCCTGGTGCACGTACAATCTTAAGATAGAAATTTGCTACTTGCACTTATTGCTACAATAATAATAAACTAGCGCTAAACTATGGGGGTTACATTTTTTTCTTTTTTAGTTTCATTATACAATAAGGCACGGGATTGTAATAATATTTTGGTTGGTGTAAGGGAAGGAGAATGGGAGCTCTATTCTTATATATAATGTTTTGTATTAATTATTGATTATATGTTCATTAAATATTATAAAAAATGTCTACAAAATTGTTGATCTTGTGTTGCACTATATAATTATAAATATCTGTAATACTCCTTGTTAGAAATGTTTTGATATGGGTTATCTTAAAATTAGCTTAAATTCTATGTTGAACGTTGCCTTCTCTTGCTTGTTTGAAATGTAGACGGAGAAAGTTTTGTTTTGTCCTGGAAACTTGATGGCCGACTGCCTTTTGTGTTCTTTCGGATATGTCACAATAGTTTATTTTTTGGACTAGGTGCATTCTAGATGGACCCATAAGGTAATAGCGAATAGTACTTCATGGGACCAACTGGGAATAGTACTGTCCAGGGACGCGTGCCTCACATTGTTTTCGCATATTTGTTGGCCTTTGTATGGTACCCAAGACCAGGGGGGCGCGTCCTCTACAATTTCTTCATTTGTCATTCATTCATTTATTCTGTTTACTTTCGTTCCTTCTAAATCAGTCTTATCAAATAACCAGACTCAGTCTTTTCTCATATTTGTTTTGTTGTAGCCACCAGTATTTTTTAGAGTTGCATTGGACTTTCGTGTTATCGTCTGTTAGTTTGTATTTGAATCGGATTTTGGGGTCGTTTGTTGATAAGTTATCGTTGTATGATATTGTTTTATTCTAAGTTTTTCTATTGTAGTGATAAATGATTTTGTGATTTTCGCTACCTTGTATGTGTGATGTACTGTCTAGGTATATAAATGATTCCAGTGGTGTGTTTTATTCTCTCGTTCGTGCGGGTTGAAGTAGATTGAATGGAGTATTAAACTGTTGGAGTTGATGTTGGGTATATTTGTCCAGTAGTTTCTTATTAATTTTAGAATGAACAGGTCTGTCTTCATTATTTTAGCTTCATCTTCTATAGACGATGATTGCTTATCATTTTTGCAAAGTTTGATTCTAGCGTTCTGTATTTGTTTAGACGAGTTCTGAGTTATTTATGCTCGAACAAGCGCATCTTTTCTATGGTGCTAGCGTTGATATTAAACCATATGGGGCAGCCAAAGGTTAATATCGGCAGATTAATAATTTGCAGCATAGAAGTTTTACTCTATTGTCGAAGTTTTTTGCGTAAAACATGCGCTCGTTTGCTGCGAATGATCTTTATGCCTTGTCAATTTGTAATTTGACGTGTTCGTCGTGGCTTATTGTGAAATCCAGATGTACGCCTAAATAGCGGATGACTTTCTTCTGTGGTACTCCATTAGTGGGTTTTCATGAATGCCAAATTTTTTGGTGTTACTTTTTATAACAAAGTTTGCATCGAATATTCTTGAGATCACGGTCTGAATAATATGGTTTCGCATTTTTGGATGAATATTTTTAATTTCCACGTGTGGAAATATTCCTGTATTTCATTGAATTATTGTTATAATTGAATTATTGTTATAATTTTGACTACTGACGGCTTATCATCTTTGATATTATCCATGTATCGTCCGCGAAAACTATTATTACTTTTTGCCGTCGCTGTTTAAGTTGTATATACATCTGGAGTAAGTCGTTGATGTATATTAATGCTGAACAAATGGGGGAATTTACCCTGTTGGAAGCCATTTTCTACTTTTGTATGTTCTAGAAGTGGTGTGTTGTTGAATGTGCATATTGATCTGTTGTTTAGTTGATCTTCAATTATTTCATGACGTAATTGATTGATTTTATGTTTAATTATGTTTGATAGTTGCGGTTTGCTCATGCGATTTTGACTGACTCGAACTGTGCTCCTAATATGAATAGTTTGTCTTGTGTTTCTCAGATGATTAAATTTTTGTCTTTGTTTGTCCGTAATTTGTCTCACTCCAAGTTTGCTTTTATAATTAGGTCTGTGTGTCAGTTCGGTATCTTTGTCAATGTTGTTTTGTGTTGAGGTGCGGAAAATGCTATTTATTGCTGGGACGGGGTCTTTCTGTTTCTGAAGTGTGATATTTAAGATTGTAGCGGCCTATAGTTCCTTGAGTACGAGTTTCGAACACCGACTTGTACAAGCCGCAAGTGGCTGTGCGCCTAGCGTCGAAGTCAATCGATATTCGATGTTAAGCAAACAGAGTGCGGAACACCGCTAGGATGGGTGACCGTTCAGCCTAGCGAGTAGTTATAACAACAAGCGTCTGGGATAAGGGGTCGTCGCTGCCATAAGCCCCACTGATGATGAGTCTAGGCAGCGATTCTGAAACGGGAACGCACAACCTTTCCTTACCCATCACCAAAATCCAATCCTTCCATCTCCTTCCTCCATCCTCGCACTAACTGTAGATAAAATGTAAATATGTAAATACCATAGTTATTTACCTCCCCAAAACTGGGGTGACCCCGTACGTGATCAGTGTTTAGTGCAGTAAACGATTCAAAAAAAGACTCGAGATGGCAACACGCATCACCGACATGGAATACGTGAGAAAGCCGCAATTCCGCTGTTATTCTGATCGAAGAAACCTGATATGGTTTAAGCAACTCGACATCCACTTCGAGGCAAACGAGGTCAAATCAGATCAGACGAAATTTTCGCGCTTGCGTATATAGATGCTTCGAACGTGGGCGAGATCGCTGATATAATCAGCAATCCGCCTGAAGAAGACCGTTACGAAACGCTGAGGACAGAGATGGTCCGCCGCTTCAGCGCGACGTGTAGAGCAACCAGTTGCAAAGACTGTTCGAGCAGGAGGAAATGGGTGCGGACACTGTCGCATGAGGACGACGTTAGCAGGTGAAGCCGCGACAGAAGAAGAGTTCCTGAGGACTATATGTGGCTAAATAGATTGCCACCAGCAGTCTGGACGGTCGCGAGCGCGTTGGACGTCCCATTAGAACAATTAGCAGTCGCGGCAGATAGAATTCATGAAACGATACCAAAAGCCGCGGAACCGAACACCATCCGGAGTCAAGAGAACGTGCTGCAAGTCGCGAGCACCACTAGGCACTCCGAGACGGACGAGCTGCATCAAGGGCTGAACGATCTCCGAAATCGGGTAGCCGAGCTTGCCAAGACTTTCGCCCGAACCACAGCACCACAAACAGCGCGATCACAAAGTCACGATCACAAAAAGCGGGCGGAGAAGATCGAAATCGCCAGCAACGAGAGACCACTGCTGGTACCATCAGACCTTTGGAAACCGATCCACAAAATGTCGGCCGCCGTGCAAGTTCCAATCGGGAAATGGGGAGTCCCGACACTAGATACAGCTGACGGACCAAGGACAAGCTGCCTTTTTGTCACCGATCTCATGACGAAAATAATGTTCTTAGTCGACACCGCGTCGGACCTGTGCGTACTACCGCGTACGTGTGTGAAAGGCCGAACCGAGAAATCGACATACAATGTATGCGGCAAACGGGACTACCATAAACATGTATGGTATCAGGACCCTCCGGCTTGACGTTAGACTTCGACGAGTGCTCCCGTGGAAATTCGTCATCGCCGACGTGGCGAAACCCATCCATTGGAGCAGATCTCCTAACCACTACGGACTACTCGTCGACCTCCGGCACCGCCGACTATTGGACACCACGACATCGCTTTTCTCAACTGGAAGGATCGCCACTGGAGAACCGGATTCAGTGAGGACCATCGTGAACGACTCACAGTACCACCAGCTCCTCGCCAAGTACCCGGACTTCATGAGACCGACAGCGATCCCGCGCAAGGTAAAGCACGATGTCGTCCATCATATTAATTCACGACGCCCGGTCCGCTAGTTCATTGTAGACCGCATAGACTTGCGGATATGTATAAGATCGCGCATACCGAATTTAGCAAACTAATGAGCCAGGGACACGTCCGCCCGTCCAAGAGCCAGTGGGCTTCCGCCCTACACATGGTTCCAAAAAAGGATCACGGATGGCGACCCTGCGGCGATTATCGCGCATTAAATTTACGAACGGTACCCGATCGATATCCGATACCACACATCGAGGACTTTTCGCGAATGCTCTCCGGAAAGAAAATATTCTCGATCATCGACCTGGTGTGCGCTTACCATCAGATACCGGTCCGTCCTGGGGACATACCGAAAACAGCAATCACAACACCCTTCGGTTTGTACGAATACACCGTAATGCCATTCGGATTGAGCAATGCTGCGCAGACTTTTCAGAGGTTCATCGATAGTCTTGAGGGGGCTCGATTTTTGTTACGCGTACCTAGACGACATTCTAGTCGCCTTCCGAGATGAAAAAGAACATTGTGAACACCTGGAACAGCTGTTCGCACGGCTAAATCAGTATGGCGTGGTAGTCAATCCAACGAAGTGTGTATTCGCGCAAACCGAGATAAAATTTCTCGGTTACACGGTAGACGAAAACGGAACGAAACCGCTCGAAAAAGTCAAAGCGATTTTAGATTTTCCTAAGCCGGATACCGTAAAACAACTTCGTAGATTCCTGGGTGTGATGAACTTCTACCGAAGATTCATAGCCAAGGCCGCGAAACTGCAAGCCCCGCTGAACCAGGTTTTAAAGGGTCGGAAATTAAAACGAAATGCTCCGATCCAATGATTCGCTGACGCGGATACAGCATTTCAAGCGCTGAAAGATGCGCTATCGAACGCCGTGTTGCTAGCACATCCATCGAATCGTGCGAATCTCGCGATTATGGTGGATGCGTCCGATTTTGCGCTAGAAGCAACCCTTCAACAACAAGAGGAAGGTGCGTGGTGATCACTAACCTTCTTCACGAAATCTTTGTCGTCGGCACAGCGCAAGTATAGCGCCTACGACAGAGTTGCTTGCCGTTTATTCCACGATTAAACAATTTCGGCACGCGGTGGAAGGACGATCGTTTGCTGTGTATACTGACCATAAACCGTTAGTATATGCATTCAAACAGAAACCAGAAAAAAGTACGCCACGACAGTTCCGATATCTTGATTTCATTAGTCAATTCACAACCGATATCGGACAGTGAAGTGGCAGACGCACTTTCTAGAGTAGAAGCGGTGACCGCGGCACTAGATTTCGAACGTCTAGTCCAGTCACAAAATTCAGACGAGGAACTAAAGCAATCCCTCACCGCGTCTGGCACTTCGCTGCAATTAAAAAAGATTAAACCCATAGGCTGCGATATACCACCGTATCCTGCGATATATCGACCGACGCATGCAGGCCGTTCGTAACACCTACATATCGCAGACAGGCATTCGATTCAGTGCACGGTATAGCGCACCCGGTAATAAAGACGACAGTCAGGCTGATTAAACAACGTTTCGTCTAGCCGTCGATCGACCGCGATTGTAGGAAATGGGCACGAAGCTGTGTACAATGTCAACGAGCTAAAGTTAGGCACGTAGTAAGTCCCACAGCAAACTTTTTGCCGCCGTCCACTAGATTCGAGCATGTGCATATCGACCTAGTGGGCCCGCTACTAAGTTCAGAAGGGAAGAGATACTGCCTTACTTGAGTAGACAGATACACGCGCTGGCCCGAAGCCTTTCCGATCGCTAACATCGAAGCAGAAACAGTCGCGAAAACTTTCATCGAGGGTTGGATATCCCAATTCGGCACTTCTGCCCGCGTCACTACCGATCAAGGCAGACAGTTTGAATCGAGATTATTTAATCAACTCAGCGCAATGCACGGGACACAACATTTGTGAACGACGGCATACCACCCAGCCGCGAACGGCATGGTGGAACGGTTCTACTGTTCAGTTAAAAGCCGCAATCAAGTGTCACGCCAACGATCGTTGGACAGAAATCCTCCCAACGGTCCTCCTTGGCGTAAGAGCAGCGCATCGCAAAAATCTGCACGCATCCTCTGCGGAATTAGTTTACGATCAGACGATACGTCTACCGGCCGATTTTCTCGCGGAGAGCAAACCAAACGATAAGAACAACATGGAACCGGCCGACATGGTTAAGCAGCTGCGGCAAACATTCAGTAAAGTCTGACCTGCGGAAGAGTCACGCCATGGAACGCGGAAAACCTTCCAATTTAAAGCTTTAAACACGGCGTCTCACGTGTTTATAAGAGTCGATCAAGTAGAAACCCCGCTGCAAAGTCCGTACGAAGGTCCGTTCCCGGTTGCTGCGCAAAGAAGAGAGAAATTCGGGCCGTCATAGAGTACGGACAAGAGACTCCGCGATACGCCACGAATCGAAATATTCACCGCGTCTTACGAACTCCGCGCCATTTCATGTAACATATTAGATAAACGTGTTAACCAGAATCTAATAATCATTCACCTCGTACTAACAACCAAAGCTCTCCAAAGCTGACGTGACCCCGACGTGATGTGAACACGCAACCAAGGAAAATCGAAAAGTGACATCGACAACAAAAGGAAGGGACGACACACCAGCGAGGATGCAACATCAGGAAGGACACAAACGCCCATCGAGGATGCAACATCGAGGAAGGATGCCACAACAACAATTGGCCACCACGGCATGTAGATCGATCGCAGAGAAGATGCGCTAATACACACAATCAGCACCGCCACTGAATGCAGACGGTCACAGAAAACAGTACGGCGACACGCGCGTATGCAGGCATCACGTCGACGACACGCAGCCACGTACTCGCAGCGCCTCCGACAACCGTAGCAATGTGGAGCCTCCAACACAGATACCGGCCCTGGGTAATCTAACTTCCGAAAAAAATATCAGGACCGAGCCACAAACGAAAGACAGCCAACAGCAACATCATCTGACATCCACTCTTCCATAGGCCTCCTCTTCTCAGTATCGCTATCACTGGGAAGGGAGTGATGTAGCGGCCTATAGTTCCTTGAGTACGAGTTTCGAACACCGACTTGTACAAGCCGCAAGTGGCTATGCGCCTAGCATCGAAGTTTAGCGATATTCGATGTTATTAAGCAAACAGAGTGCGGACCACCGCTAGGATGGGTGATCGTCCAGCCTAGCGAGTAGTTATAAGAACAAGCGTCTGGGATTAAAAGGGGTCGCTGCCATCAGCCCCACTGATGAGTCTAGGCAGCTCTGAGACGAAACGCGCACAACCTTTCCTCACCTTACCCACTTCCTACATTACCTTCACTCACATTCCTTTATCCTCGCGTCATCAACACACTCAAATCCCTTCAGATTGTTTTCGTCTATTTA